AACAATGAAATTTAAGTTAACTAGAAATAATTAAATTTATTGTATTTAAGTACTCTGTTTCAGTGTTGTAATTAATATTCTGTTTTGTTGAAATGAATGGTTTGTTGTCTAATTAATTATGAAATTTGGTTGTCAAATTGAGTACTATATTTGGATTTATTTTTTGTTATTCAGATCAACTAATTTTTTTTTTTTTGTGATAGTTATATTGTTGTATGGTTGGTGTATTCATCTCAGCAAGATTAACTGAATTTGATTGAGGAAAATTGTGACAAAAATACTCAAACCAGCATGATAAACAAAATTTAACAAACAAAAGTTGCATTGAATAAATTTCAAACAATCTCAAATAAACTCAAATTCAACATCAAAAATACTTAACAACCAACATAAACACATTGAAATCATTACAAATTTATTTATAAATTAGGATAGATGTTGTTTCAAACTACTCGCACAACATTTTCAACCTCACTTGTTCTTATTGCAACTGGCACAACAATATGCATAAAATTTTCAGGTTCACCAATGTCACCACAAAAAGAAAAAAATGCCAGTGGTCCAGAGGGTGCTACTTGAAGCCCTTGCAGCAAGTCCATTACCCAATTAGTTTTCATGACTGTCGTAGCAATAATCATATACTCTGCTTATGTTGATGATCAGGCAACCATTTGTTGTTTCTTAGATGACCAGTTGATGGGGTTTGATCCAAGAAATATAATAAATCCCGTAGTTGATGTGCGATCATTCAGGTTACCAACTCAATCAACGTCTGAGTAAACATAAAGATTCCGATCATTTTGAGTGTTAATTTGAAGACCATAATTAGCTGTTTGTTGGAGATACTTGAAAACTCGCTTGAGTTCTTTCCAATGATTTTCAGAGGGAGAGTGCATAAATTGGGACAATTTATTTACAAGATACGTGATTTCTGGGAGAGTGAAAGCTAAGTATTGCAACTTGGCTATCACTTTTCTTTAGTTGGTGGCATTCGTCGGTTCATCTCCATCATTGGGAAAGATGACATGGTTTGAACTCACTGAAGTGAAAACGCCTAAGCTATATTGTATATTGGAATCATGGACAATATCCATAATATATTTACATTGCGATAGAAATATGTCGGCAGGTTTACGAAGTACTTCAATACCCAAAAAAATACGTAAAAAGACCAAGATCTTTGAGAGAAAATTGTCTGGAGAGAGTAGAGGTAACCTCTGGCATGAGTTTTGTGTTTCTCCCGGTGACAATAATATCGTCAACATAGACTAAAATGTAGAGAAATACATTTTGTTTATGAACAATAAAAAGCGAGCTATCAAATTTTCGATTTTTTGAACCCTATTTGCTGCAATATGTTGGTCAACTCAATATACCATGTCTGCGGGACTTGGTTAAGCCAGTAAATAGCTCTTTTTAAGAGACACACGTGGTTGGACAAATCTTAATGTTCAAAACCAGGAGATGGTTGCATGAAAAATTCCTCTTCCAAGTGTCCTTGGAGGAATGCATTGCTTATGTCTAATTGATACAAATGTAATTGTTTTGGACAACAATGGACAAAAAAAGACATACCATAGTAGCTTTAACTACTGGACCGAATGTGAAGCGATAATCGACGTCGGCGCTTTAAGTGAAACCCTTAGCTACTGACCTTGCTTTGAAGCAATCAACTGTTCCATCTGGCTTTTACTTGACTCGAAACAACCATTTTTTATCAATCACATTTTTTTTGTAGGATCTCGTGGTACTAGCTGCTCCCATGTTTGATTCTTCAGTAATTCATCAAATTCTATTATCATAGCATCTCTCCGTTGAGGAAATTGAATAACATATTTATTGGTGTCCGGGGGGGTGGGGGTGGGGGTGGGGGGTGGGGGTGGTGATTTTTAATGTGAAGTCAAAAACTTGTTTTAATTTAAATATTTGATTTTGGGATCGAGTGGTTGTACGGTAGGTTCAATTGTAAAGACGTTGAAATTTCGGGTTGTGTGTAATAAATAAGAAGTTGGAGGAGCAATGATGGGTGGGTTGGTAATTTGGGTTGTAGGTGGAGAAATAGTAATGAGATTGGAATTCTGGACTGTGGGTAATGCTGAAGAAGGGAGTGGAACAAGTTGTTGGTGAGTTACCGGGTAAGGAGATACTAGAACTAATGTTTTACTGCTAGAAATGTTGGAGCTCCAGATTGGCACCGCAAATATTATTGTGAAATGATTATGGGATGTGGTATCTCTAGTGACGAATGTGGAGATTCAGATTCTTTCTCGAGTTTATTTTGAAGCAAAACAATATCTCAATCACTGTTTGAAATACCACCATTCAAGTTCTGAAAAATATTTTCATACGGAAAAATATTTTCAAAAAAATTGATATCTCAAGATAAGAATAACTTAGAGGCTTTGGATCAAAACATTGATGACTGTGGTGAGTAACATAAAAGCTGAGATATATGCAAGGTTTAGAGCGAGGCTCAAGCTTGTTTTTTGTGTATGGTTTCAACCATGGGTAGCAAAGGCAACCAAAGTCGGATTGAATTGAACCAATTGAATGGTATTGGTTGCAGGAGTTGCGGTGATCATTGGTGGAAAATGGATATTACCCGTGAAAGTGTCAAAGGTTTTGTATCATATAGAAGAGATGAAAGAGAACAATTAAAAGCTTGCTATTGATGATATGTTTACATGAATTTATACACGAGAAGTAAGAAACTATAAACAACCTAGCTACTAAATCTCCTATTGTTAAGATATTTGTTTAGACTAACATCACAACTAATCTATACAAACTGAAGAATAATGAGAGATATTATAAGCAAAAAATATATGTCAAAGTAGTTGGAGATAAGCGTCAAGAAAGACCAATCCTGATCTTGTCATTGTACTTGCTGGCTATTCACTAAGAAGTTGAACAATCAACTCTCTTTCATACTATATTCATGTACTGCAAGAAGAGTCTTAGGGGATGTTTGGTTATATTTTCAATACTATTCAGCAGAGTAATTTTCGTCATTTCCATTTATTAAAGGGGCAATTTATTATAGGTCCATCTATATTATAATTTATGTTTATAAATCGAAGTTAAAATATCCATGTTTTAATAAAGTAATAATAGTTATTAAGGCAAAAATACCCTTAAGTCAAATCAAATCAAATCAAATCTCCAAAAATCTCTCTATCAAAATAAATTCTCAAACATCTCTCTTCCAAATATTAACTAAAAAATTAAATTAATTTTTTAAAAGAAATACTATTTATTTTACAAACTATATGAGATTTGTTTTGTTATTAATTGAAGGTGTTTATGTTTATATACTAATTATTTTATTTTATTTATATTATTTTTTTTTGGTCAAAGGACCTATGCTTATATTCATCTAGCAACTAGGATCTCTACCTATATAAGTCCAAAATAAGGGGTGTCTAGCAAATTACCCTTTATTAAATCCACTATTTGTGCCGAGTGAATTTTGACATTTCATTATTAAATCCACTATTGCGCAGAGTGGTTTTCGCCATTTCCATTTATTAAATCTACTATTTGTGCAGATCGTGGATTCTGACGTTTTCATTTATTAAATCCATTATTGACATTAATATTTAGAGTGGATTACGTCAATTTCTTAATGAACTTTACGTTAATTTCATGATGGTTTTCGATAAATTCAAATCATTCTTGTTTTTAGTTAATAGTTCCAAATTATTACTTCCATGGATTAGTGGATTTCAAAATTTTGCTTTCAGTAAATAGTGGATTTCAATTTTAGTGAATTTCATTTTTTGGTAAATATGTTGTTAAAAAAATACAATTATTACTTTTTGCAAGAAAATTTAAAAAACAAAATCGAAAGTGAAAAATGGAAACAACATTAATTGAAATGAGGCATTATTTTAGCGAGAGATTATGATAGGATCCTAAATTTGGGTGATTTGCATATCTACAAATCTTTTAATTGATTTTTCATAATAATTCAATAGGGCAAACTTGGTATTTTGTTATAAAAGAGGTTATCTCAAATAAGAGATTTGAATTTATCTCTCTACCGAAATTGAATAAGGGGTTTTGTCAAATAGCCCCAAAATATAATCGAGTTTTATGCTATTATATTTTTTTTTAGAGTCAAGTTTTATGCTAATATTTATAAGTGAACTATAGTCCTTGTTCAACTAGATTTCTTTATTTTTGGAAAGGTTAGAAGATATTTCTCATCTAAGTAGAAGATCTTTGGTATTTGTACAAATTAGATTTCTCTTTCTCAAATAAAAAAAAATAAAAAAAAAAGAAAAATAGATTTATGTATTTTGGAAAGGTTAAAACTTTTAAGGTAAATCTCCCAAGTAAGAGATCTTTGGCACTTGTTATCATTGATTGATTCCTTCTTGAACTATGATTCTTTTTTGTAAAAGTTTTGTTGTTTCTCAATGATATTTTCTCTAGTTTTTCAGAGTCATTTACTTATTTCCTACTTCAATAAGATTTTCTTAGTTTCTTTAGATTTTATTTTTTATTAATTGTTTTATTTTATTATTTTTTTGTAAAAATTGATTTCTAAATTTTATATATATTATTAAGAGGTGGATCTTAGAAGTTAGAACGGATTCCCACCAAAATTTCCCACTCCCTCCATAAATTGCAGCATAACGAAACGTGGCCATACAAACCCGGCCCGACCCGAACCCACTCCCCGCATTATTCGCGGGTCAGCTAATCCTTCTCCTCTATATAACCCTATTTATTCCCATACAAACTCTCTCTCTCTCTCTCTCTTCCAACTGTTATAACCTATCTCTCTCTCTCTACAACTGTTAGAAGACTCTCTCTCTCCTCCCTCTCCATTAACCCATACAAACTCTCTCTCTCCTTCTCTCTTCTCTCTCTCCAACTGTTGCAAGAAGAAAACAAGAAGAAACAAAGAAAACCTATTCCTATACACACTCTCTTTCTCTCTCTCTCTACAAAAATAATCTGTTGAAATTCTGCGTTCAATTCATACCATGAAAATGAGTTCCTACATCAAACAAGAACCATCTGAGCCATCAGAAATGTTTCTGAAAAAGAAGATTCACAGCCGAGAAACAACTCCACTGATAACTAGCAGCAGCGAATATTCCGGCCACAGTTCCGACGAAGATGAATCCGACGTGGAACTTAACCATCCGAAGAAGAAGAAGCATAGATACGACGCGATTCTGCCGGTTGGATTTCTCGACCCCATCCGACCAGACGAACCGGTTGTGGTTTCTCAGAGACCAACCGCCGCGCCGCCAGTTGCCGCCGGCGACGGCGGCGGCGGGGCTTCCAGTTATGCTATGGTTCCGGTGAAAGAAGAGATTCCGGTTGATCCAGAGAAGGCGGTGGTTACTACTTTGGCTGTGGTGCGTAGCTGTAAGCAGTTTTGGAGAGCCGGCGATTATGAAGAATCCGGCGGCGGCAGCAGCGGCGGCGATGTTTCCGTTGGTACGTTACGAATTCCCTTTCATTGATTACTTACTTATCTACTAAAATTGATGGATTTGTTTTCTTATCATTTACATGCGTATTGCCATCTAGGATAATTTCCCTTTTCTATCGAAATTTAAACCGTGAGACGTTTAGGTGGGGCCCGCTTTCGATAAAAACAATAAATTTAAAAAAAAATTAAAAAATATTTATATAAGCGAAAACGACACGCGTAACAAAATGTGGCTTAATTGTTGTGATGTTACTTATTATTTTTCAATCGTTTGGGTTGATGGCTTGATGCATAGACGTTAGAACAATTTCGATATTTTAGATTTTTAAAAAAATTAAAACAAACCCTAAATCAAAAAATAAAATCATGTAGCTCCTTAAGATATTTCAAAAAAATCCAACATACAATTAAAAAATGAGAATGACAAAAAATTAAGAGATATAAAGGGGGATAAAGATATTGAGAAATTTCCTAATTAGCTTGAAAATTTTCATTAAATCCCATCCGCATTAAATGATTTTTTCTTTTTGACAACCGTGAGACGTTTAGGTGGGGCCGCTCTCGATAAAAATAATAAAAATGTATAAGCCCTCCCCCAAATGATTAATTGTTTTGACGTGTACGAAGTAACTATTTTTCAATCGTTTGCGTTGATGCATAGACATTAGAACAACCGGAAATATATTAGGTTTCAAAGAACCCTATAAGCTTAAAAAATAAAATAAACCCTAAATAAATTTAAAAAAAATAATTCATTGGTGGTAAGTTTGAATAATAAACCTTAATTGACAGTGTGTAATATAATTTTTTTTGCAGCTGACATGGATCACGTAAGGGTTCATCCTAGATTCTTGCATTCAAATGCTACCAGCCATAAATGGGCTTTGGGAGGTAATTATTAATTAATAATTAATTTTTTATTTTAATATTACTTTTTATAATATTTGCAAATTTTATTTCAAATTTGTTTTATTTATTTATTTAATTTTTTTTTTTTTTTTGTTATTTCCAGCATTTGCTGAGCTTCTAGACAATGCTTTGGATGAGGTGTGTAATGGAGCTACATATGTCAATGTTGATATGGTTGTGAAAGACAATAATAAGATGTTGGTAGTTCAAGGTAATTAAACATTCTTAGGGTAAATTACAAGCATCTCACTGACGTAAAGTGTAATAACAAAAAAATCCCATTTATTTGAGAAATTACATCCACCCCTGCAATTTGTAAATTTCTTACGTTCACCCCCTACAAAAGGGTGTTAACGTAAGACATTTACAAATTTCAAGGGGATGGATGTAATTATTGGAAAATCAGGGTTTTTTTTGTAAATAGAACTTACTTCATGGGGGCGGTTGTAATTTAACGAACATTTTCATCATTTTCTATCATAAGAAAATTTCGATTTCTTATTGCTTGGGTTGAATACTAATGTTATTGGCGAAAATTTAAACTCGCTAATTTTGTACTCGATTTTAAGTAATCGTCGGTCGACTGTTTCATTGACGATCACGTTATGGGTGCAGATAACGGCGGCGGCATGACCCCGGATAAGATGCGTCAGTGCATGTCGCTCGGGTATTCCGCAAAGAGCAAGATGGCTAACACAATCGGTCAATGTAGGTTGACCTAAACGCTTCGTCGAATATATTTCATTTAAATGTAGCCCTTAAAATATTATTTCGACAGATGGAAATGGATTCAAGACCAGCAGCATGAGGCTCGGTGCAGACGTGATCGTGTTCTCCCGCTGTAAGGGGCAATACGGACAAAGCACAACGCAAAGCATTGGACTGCTTTCGTTTACGTTCTTGCAGAAGACCGGCAAGGAGGATATAATCGTCCCCATTGTTGATTACGAGAAAACGGGAGAAACTCGTTGGAGTAGGCGTTTGAAGTCATCAAACGAGTGTTGGGAAAGAAATCTCGAAACCGTAGTGCAATGGTCACCATACGAAAGCGAAGACGAACTCGTCGGGCAGTTCAATTTCTTGGAAGATCAAGGAACACGTATCGTGATCTATAATCTTTGGGAGGATGATCAAGGACTACTAGAACTCGATTTCGAAGCCGATCAAAATGTACGTGTTAATTTCATCATACTATATGTTTATTTTTTTATTTTTTTTTTCATATAATTGTAATTGATGTATTATTATTATTTCAGGACATTCAAACAAGAGGCGGCAACCGAGAAGACAAGAAGCTAATGGATACGGCAAACGATCACCCGAGCGCTAGAAAATTTCTTACGTACCGACACTCGTTGAGGGTATATCATTTAACACTCATTTTTGTTTTTGATAAATAATAAATATAATTATTTGATTTTTTTTTTTCTTTCTTTGTTCTGCAGAGCTACGTCTCGATTCTGTACCGTAGGATACCACCTGGTTTCTCCATCGTCTTACGAGGAAAGGAAGTTGAAAATCACGACCTAGTCAACGATATGATTCATCCTCAGAAGAATGTTTACAAGCCAGCAGCTTCTGCTGCATCAAAAGATCCTAATGTAATTAAATACTTGACTTTTAAATTCATCTGCAAAACGACTCGTAATTATTTATTTATTAACAATTTTGTTTTTCTTCTTATAATGTTGAAATAAAATAGATGTCCGCAGCGGTAACACTTGGATTTATTAAAGACGCACGCCATCATATCGACGTTCAAGGATTCAACGTGTATCATAAGAACAGGCTTATTAGGGTTCGCTTCTTTTTAGCTTTTCACAATATTTTTTTTAATTAAGTAATATAATCATAAATAATTGATTATTTTCTTTTCTACTTTTTTCTATCAGCCGTTTTGGAGGCTATGGAACGCCGCCGGAAGTGATGGTCGAGGAGTAATCGGTATATTTTGATTTACATTTGTTATGCAATATAATCATATATAAAAAATATACGTTTGTCTTATATTTCTCGTGTTACGTCTTATATTTTAGGTGTTTTGGAAGCTAATTTTGTGGAACCGGCACACGATAAACAAGGATTCGAGCGCACGACTGCGCTTTCAAGACTCGAGGCTAAACTTATACAATTGCAGAAGACTTATTGGTTGGTTCTCTTTCAATTTTTTTCTATATATCCAATTATATACTATAGCCGATTTATATAATTTTACCGAATTTCGGATTAATTATTTTTAATTTTTATTGTATTCAACAGGTCTGAAAAGTGCCATCTAATTGGCTATGCTAAACGACGTAACTCAAAGAAGTCCGTTTCCCCGGAGAAACAAGAAGCATCGCCACCTAGTGATAACAATAATACGGCATTTACTCCAAAATCGAACACCAAAAAGGCACATAAACCATCACCTATAAATCACAAAGCCTCGTTTGCTTCTCCGTTACGAGCGGTGCCTCAATCGACATTTCCTCCGCAAGAAGCTTCTGCTTCAAATATGATTGTCAAGGTAATAAGGGAAATATACTTTTTCGTCTTTTTTATTTTTAATTATTTATTATTTATTATTTTTATCTTAATTGTTTTTCTTTCGGTGAAAAAATAATAGGTGGAAGATATCAACAAATACGGACCTACGACGCAGTTTCCCTCACTTACGAATATGGTTGTTAAGCTGATAGACGATAATCGAAACTTGAGAAACCGGTATATATATAAATCTATCTCGTTTTATGTATAGTACAAATCTTTGTCTGCTTTTTCCGTGTTTTAAGCGCTACATTTTCGATTCGCAGTTTGACGGACACACTGCATGAACTACACTATGAAGAAGACAAGAACAAGTCCCTCACAACTCAGGTAATTAACTAATTTATTTTTATTGTGAAATATAATAATATCTCAATTAAATGAATTTGGTAATTAGTTTTTTTTTTCCTTTTAAACTACATTTCGTATTTTCTTTTTCCAATTTCAGCTTCAAGATGCGACGGAAATGATGCAACAAATGGATCGAGAACAAGAAACATTTGTTAGTTCGTTCGCGGAAGAAAGAAACCGACGAGAACAGGAAGAACAAAATCTGAGAAGAAAATTAAGGGTATAATTATATATCGATATTCGAAAGAAGAATATCTTGAATTATTTAACTTATTATTTTTTTTCTTTCTTTTGTTTGTGCAGGAGGCTTGTGAAACTATTGAAGGATTGGTTAGGAAAGTTCGGACATTGGAGGCTCGCTTGCGTTGAGAATCGAGATTAGATACAAAATATTCAGAATATGTAATGAATTTATGTAAATTGATTAGATCTTCATGGATGGTTTCTCATAGTAGTTAATTTTTAATTTGAATTATTCATTAGTTACTTTGTAATTGATTGCAAACATATGTGCAGTTAACTTAATTCAAATGCAGACAAATTGAGTTTTTGCCTAGTAATCAAGAGCCTCTTCCATAAGTAGTGTTTGTGTAAGACCATATTATAAGCTATTTAAAAAACTTGATATAAATGTAGGAAGATACTCCCTCAAAATTAGTTTTTGAATTTAACAATAACAATGGGTATAAGAATACATATTTGTTCTAGCTCTCATTTTAATTTTATCTTATTTATTTTATTGGGAAAAATACAATTTTCATCCCTCAAGTTTGCACTGATTTCACATTTGTTCTCTTATAATTAAAAAATGCAATACTTTTAGTCATTTTTTATTGTTAAGATTTCACATTTGTTCTCTTATAATTAAAAAATTCAATACTTATAGTCATTTGTTATTGTTAAATTCAACGCGTTAGTACTACAGGAAAGTTGACGGAGATGACCAAATGTGTTTTTTGTGAACATGGGGGACCAAATAAGAAATCAGTACAAACTTGAAGAATGTAAACTGTAATTTTCCCTTATTTATTAGTGTGAACTACAAACGATTCTCGTGGACGAAGCATAAAATTTAGTATGACTCGAGTAGCACTTGATGAAAGTTCTAGGTACATTTTGTAATTTAAGAACTATGGAGCAGTTTATAAAAAGTTCCAAAACATTATTGTAGCAACTAGCAACTATCAACATATTTGTAGAAGAAGAATATCCATAATTTGTGCTAGCAACTATCAACATATTTGTAGAAGAATATCCACGATTTGTAGACTTTGGACTTTAATGAAATATTAGGGGTCAAAATGCAAATATGGGTACCTTGTTTCTTACAAGTTTGTATTAGGGATTATTTTACATACCCCTAGCCACCAAATAAACTAGGGATAAACCCAAGCCCAAATCATCCTTTGACATACCCCTAGAGAAGC